TGGATCTGCTGAAACTTTCATGCTTTCAATCAAATCCACAGCTTCATAAATGTGACCTGCACGACTTAGAGATCGACCATGCACCCATAATGTTCCATCTCAGGTTCGATTCCATATTTCTCTGTCATCAACTTGTAATATTGCCTACCTTCCCTAACCAGACCTGATCGACTACAAGCGTTTAAGACCCCCACAAAAGTCACACTCGCTGGTTGGAGACCTACAGATAAGAATCCTTCGAAGAGCGCGAGAGCTTCCTTTCCAAGGCCATGGGAGGCCAATCCACAAATCATGGCATTCCACGACCAAATGTTTTTTCGTGGCATTTCATCGAACACGAGTCTAGACAGTTCGATGCTTCCGCATTTTGCATACATATCGACCAGAGCAGTCCCAAGAGAGACTGTAATTGGGAGATTTAATGAGCTTACGACTGAATGTACGAACTGACCGTGCTCGAGCAAGCCCAGTTGAGCCGAAGCTGAGAGCACTGTGACCAAGATGGCCTCATTAGGCAACGGACCAAACTCTCTCATCTCCATAAAACACTCTAATCCCCTTTCCAGCTCACCATTTTGAACGTAGCCAGAAATCAAAGCAGTCCAAGAAACAACATCTCTCTTGGGCATTTCATCAAAAAGTTGCTTAGCAACGTCAATCTGCCCATCTCTCGCGAATCCCGCCACCATCGAATTCCACGTGACGACGTCTCTGCAACCAGGGAGCTCGTCGAACAACCTCCCCGCAGCGCCCATTTCAGAGCAAGCGCAATACAGGTGAATCAAAGCGTTCCTAACGTACGGATCCCCACAAAAACAGAGCTTCACGGCATGACCGTGGACCTGCCTCCCTTCGAACAAGCCCACGCCCTTCCCGCAGGCCTGCAGCACGAAAGTGAAGGTATGCTCGTTAGGGCCCACCCGCCGCCGCAGCATCGACGCGTAGACGGAGACCGACCCGAGAGGGAGATCGCTCCGGGCGAGGCATCGGATCACGTTGTTGGAGGCGAAGACAGAGGGGGGGTCGATGCTGCGGTAGAGGGCGAGGGGATAGCGAAGAGGGCTCGGCGGCGGGGCGAGGGAGAGGCGGAGGAGGAGGTGGCCCAGGAGGCGGTTCTTGGTCCCGGCGGCGGCGCGGGCGGCGGGGTGGCCGGAGAGGACGATGATGCGGGCGTGGGCCTGCTTGATTTGGGCGAGGGAAGGGCGTGGCGGGAGAGACTGGGATGCGCTGTGGGCGTGGTTGAGGAGGGGAGGGAAACGGAGGAGGGGTTTGAGTTCTGGTCTGCGGGCGGACAAGAACATGTCACGAGTTCGAAAACCAGAAGGCGCTTCTGTTTTGGTCTCTCGAAAGTGGAGAAGATGGAGGCACCAGTCCGCACTAACTATTGCAGCAAACCATACGAAAAAGAAGAAAGGGAAAATTTCACTAAGGAACCCATGGCTCGCTTATCTCAAAGAGACCAGATAGTGAATATGTATCGAACAAGTGTTCGCCCCTCAAATAAGATTGATCTCAGCTTCACTCGATCAATGTGAGGGTTCGCCGCGGGTCAAATCCCAAGCGGCCGACGGAGCACATGTTCTTAAAGAATGAGACATTTCATCTCCTTTTTTTTTCTTCCGTCGGCCATAATATGGGCCGCGGAGGTCGCCTGCCAGTGAGGCCGCCTCGCGGCCGGCGAGGCAACTCACCCCGGGCGAGGTCGGCCTCGCTCGACCTCGCGTTGGAGCCGGGCGAGGCTCGAGCCTCACCCGCGCCCGGCGAGGGCCTCGCCGCCCTCGCAACCCAAGAAAGACGGCCCGACGCCGGCGAGGCCGACTGGGCCTAGCCTCTCAAAATGAGTGGCCGCCCGACGCCGGCGAGGGCGCCGCCCGACGCCGCGAGGCCGCTCGCTCGGGCCGGCTGAGCCGCCCTCGTCGGCGGCGGCGGAGCCGCTCGTCGGCGTCGGCGAGCGCCGCCGGCTGCGGCGAGGGCCGCCTCGCCCGGGCCGGGCGAGGTCGGCCTCGCTCCGAGGCCGGTGATCTTCATCGCTGCCGGCTATGGCCTGCGAAGGAAGAAAAAAACAAATGAAAATGTATCGTCTTGGCTGTTTCGGAATAGCATCAGGTTTGGCGCCTAGCAGATTTGACCTGGCGGCGAACCCGTGCCTCACTCCGAGACGAATTGAGCACTTCTGGTCCCTATTGGAGACTCGATCTGCTCTTTATTCGACACCATATTCACTTTGGGTCCTCTTTTGAGAAAAGGACCCCACTTGGGGTCCTTAATTGAAATTTTCCCAAGAAGAAAAGAAGGAGAGGAAGTCACTCCACATTTCAAGAAAATCCAAGAACCATTTTGAATATTGGGAAAATTTTATTTTAGTTTATATGTAAAGTTTAGTACTAAGATTGTTTGACCTAACGTGTCGCTCAGCCCATCAAGCCTGCGAGGCCCGGGGCATGAATAAGTAAAATTTGAGCGAACGGTTTTCTTCCTGAGCTCGAGTTTGGCCGTTAAGGCCTCCTTAGATTTATGTTGGCAAAAAGTAAAATATCTCCAGAATAATGGGTAATTTGAATAGATGCTTTCATGGAATGTTAACCCTGTTTAGACTTGCTCGTCGATCAGATCTACTAAAGAAAGATATATTTAAGTAACTTCACATTAATAAAGTAAATAAATGTAAATATTGCTAATTAAGGACATACGAATGGTTGCTTCCTCACGTGGATATATTGTTGACAAATTACTATTAGCATATAGAATCTCAATTTCACCGGTACATGTTGATAATTTGGTGTGAAATCACTATTGGCATATTGCCTCCAAATAAGAAGTTATTAGATCGGTTATATGCAGAGATAAAATTACCAATCGCTAGTAAGTACATACTCCTACCAAAAAAGGCAAATAATGAAAATTTTTCAACCACTATTAAAGTCTGTGGTCATCTTATTTTAATTTTTCCCACTTTTTTCATTGTCTAATTATATTATCTCTACATATCTACCTAATCATGGTTTCAATCTCTGTCTATATTTTTTCTCCTCAAAGAACTTTCATAGTTTATATTACTTAATGTTTTTCGTATTAAAAATTGGTTCTTTAACGGAGTGAAGTCTAATGGGATTGCCAAGTAAAATATATAATGCAAGCATAACGTAATCTTACTCTATACAGAACACTATAATTTTGATATCCATCGACCGCGAATAAACATGGTGGTCTACATTCTGTATGGCAAGACGGACCCATCAAACAAAGAGTACGGTCTATTTATAACTTCAACTAGCCTTTCTTTGTAACTCTTTTCTACTTGTCCAATGCCGGGCTCCCCTTTAATTTCTTTGAAGGTGCAATCCTTTAAATGGCCATTTATTGTTGTATGTCATGATATAAATAATAATAATACTCTAATAATTTGGCCATATCGACCTTCTTTACTATCGTAAACTCCACCGCTCCTTATGCAATATTAAATCAAATGTAGCTTCTCTTAAATATCACACGATATGTTAATGTCCCATTTAAGTGATAGTAAGCATATCATTACCAATCAAAAGTAAGATCAAGGAAATTATGGCCCTTTCGATTAAAATCTAAAGAAGCATTTCATTCTACATCACTATTCTCGCGAACTCTTCCCTGGTAATGCAGGATTCTTGGTGCTATCCGAGAGATAGAAGCACATCTTCTATGCTCAGTCATCAGCCTACAAAATTTCACTTCAATATGTTCGATCCTCAAATTTAGCTCCGACGTCCACAATCTGCTCGGCATTATGCATTCACCCAGCCTAGGAACGGCATGGAAGATATGCCTACGATCGGATAATCAAAATACCGTCGTCAAAAGTTCCTATGAATGGAAGAAGCGTCTCTTACGACCGGCGAAGACACCGGCTGCTCCCTGATACGCGATAAGAGGATGGAGACCTGCTCGGTTGCGATGTCTAGCCTCTCCTTGGACTTGGCTGACTCCGATATGAGATTCGATACCATGCTTTGGAGTAACTGTATTCTTTCCGTGTGATCGCTTGGAGCATTATGAAGGAGCTTCGACGAAGATGTACTGATCTTCCGCCATCGGAGGGGGAGATACTTATCGGGTATTTGGAAACAATTCCCAGTGGAGAGGACTCGAAGCGCATGCCGGCGCAGAATTCCAGAAAACTCGAATAGATGGCAGCTGCAACTTATGATGCCCTCCTGTGGGATCCAATAAACCCTCCGCCTTCCCTCGAGTTTTGTGTGGTGCCTCACGAGAAAGCCGCCTTCCATTTGGAAGGATGCATAGTGGGCCGCAAGACAAGTTGCTCTTGGAGCTTAGAGAAAGCAAACGGAGTGAGGACCGTCGCGGCATGGGATTCCATGGGCGCTCCCGTCTTTAAGGAGATGTTTTGGAGATTTTGTTGCATTGTTTGCTGCTCTCCTGCTTGATCTTTAAAATCGACTGCAACAGCCACCTACATCAACAAATTCAAAGGTTCAGTCAACAGAGGGAAAACAGACTAATGCCACCAACAGTTTCCCCGAGGTTCCATTTCCGGGGGTGTGTTCGGGAATGCCAATAATCCGCGGTCATCACCTGAAAGAACAGCCCGTCTGAAGAGCATTATGTACATTTTTGTAGACGAATTCCACTTGTACACAGACTCGATCGACTAATCGTCATCCGAAGCAAGCTTTTGCTTCTTCCATTTGTAAGCAGCTTCCAAGATTTTGAAATTTGTGGACTGGGTCTCCTCAGGGAACAAGTAGTCTATGTATTCCTCATACCTGAAATTCAAGAATGTCAGACAAGCTCCAAAGGGCTGATCGAAGAGGACAGTTACAAATAGAAACTGACAAAATAGGTATGCCTTGTATCAGACACATTACACCCCAGCTTGCAGAAGCATTGGCTCAACAAGATTCTATCAATATAGACACCAAGATTTGGCCCGGGAATTGAAAAAACATAGACATCAACACAGAGAACTGCATTACAGCAGAAATTAAAATCCGAAACCAGAAAGAGCAGAACCCAACAGGCGACTCACTGGACCTATCATTGATGGGCATAACCAAATTTAGTACTCACTATGGGGGGCATCTCACACAGATAGACCAACAAGCATGAATCGAAATGAACAAAAAGGACAGCACTAAATCAGGAAGTCAGTGAGTGATACCCAACAAACTAAGGTCAAAAACCAATTAAAGAGAGATATGCTTAAAAATCAATATAAGGACATCTTCGTTGACAAGCATCAAATGTAGCAAAGAGAAGAAATAAGCGACAACAGAAGTCAGTTACATACCCAGCTGGACTGTCCTCAGCCAAAATCGGCCTCTTCTTCTTCAGCTTCTTTGGCAGTTTAGGCTGGACAATGCCAACATCACCAAGTTCACCAAAACTGCTCTCCATGTTTAACCACTCCTCCAATAGCATTGCCCTTTCTTCTTTAAGTTCGGAAGCTGACGTTCTGAAGTAATTAATGGCTCTTTCAAAGACTCCTGAAGCATTTCCAAAGAGGAAATAAGAATATATCAATACTCGAACCACAAAAGGGAAAAAACCGCAGTTTAAATTGCAACTGAGCACTCACTTCTGGCATATTGTACGCATTCCCTTTTTTGTTCCAACAGATGTGATTGCAATTGATCTTCTGACAAATCTGAATTAAGGGCATCCGCAGCCGTTGCCTCAAACGTAGCATAGCTGATCCACCCTTTCAGGTGCTTAGTCCGATCTAATAATCTCTCGTATAGCTCTCTTGTTCGTTGAAATTCTCCCTCAGATATCTCAAAATCAATGCATGCCTGTTATCAAAAGACAACTACAATTACTACCGTATATTCTCCCAATTAAACAGCACACATCAACAGTAACTTAAAAAATACAACTCTGTGAGTCATTATAATTGCCTCTGCGGTCATCAAGTCGAAACCTTAGAGCCCTATAAAACTTAAAATCATATCAAGGACAGGCCATGTAAACCTCTATTAATAAGAAATTGTGCCACTCAGCAATTGTGCTGGCAGTCAACTAATACAGAGAACAACAGAATAAAAATGGATAAGATAGGACTGAAACACCACCCTACAGATCCACATCGAGACATATGCTGTTTAAGTAGTTGTAAGCCTTTAACACAATAACAACAATGGTAAACATGCATTAAGATCACATCGGGCAAATTCATTGGCAAGCGCCCATTATAAAATAACATAAAAGTGACGAGTTTGAGAGTAGAACCCTAGGTTAACTCAATTTTATATCAAAAAATAACATACTAGCATGGGCTTGGAATGAATATGGTCTTAATTGTTCACGTATAGTTTTGCATTTTGCATTTGAAATTTGATTTTTGGCCAACATTGAACACCTCAAATTTTAAAAGGACACGGACATGTACATCATTTGGAGATGTATGTTTTCATGATTCTTGCAAAATATAACAATATTTTTCCCTTTTGACCTTAAGTCACGCATATTTTGGGTAAGTAAAACAAAAGGCAGGCCTTTACCTTCCATAACAGTTCGGGCATGTCAAGTGCAGGCTGTGCAATCGCTACTTCAAAAACGGCTCTAGCTCGGTCGGTTTCTCCCAAGGATATCTCCAATTCAGCATACTTGCTCCAAGCATAACAGTTCTCTGGAGACCACTCCAAGTATTTCTCATATAGTTTTCGGCATCGGTCTATGTTGCCGAGTTGCAGCTCTATCTCAATGTATTTTTTAAATATCTGTTAATAACCAAGCACGACAAAGAAACTTGTTTAGAAAAGGACGGGGAGGAAAAACTGAAGGACAAGAATGACAGGAAACTTAGAGACTAGTCTCTCTCGGTGAAAACTTTATCCAATCTATATTACCTTATCTTTAGGAGCATTGCCAATTGCATTGCCTAGGATCTGCCTTGCACCTGTAAGATTCATTTGTCTAATCTCAAATTGAGCCGCTAAGAGCCAAATTTTGGCAAATGAAAATTTCTGTTGAGGAATCAGTTTGAGACACTCTCTGCAAGATTGAATGAGAAAGCTCCATCAGTAATAAGACTAGTCTTCAATGCTGGAAAGAGAGGGAACAAAAAGACAAAATGAATACTTGGGGTTACATGCATTCAAACCCTCACAATCATGGCTTCCATGCTACAGACTTACATATATCTGTATATTTAAGCCAAAAAGTGGGTTTTGTGTCACTTTTAGTTGCTTCCAAGAATACCCTTAGATAAATCGTATTCTCCCGAGTTTGGGCTGAAAACGCAAATCAATTTAAGGAGTGTGTACATGAAGAAATTCATCTATCCATCACTCTCCATCGCCATTAGGCATTAACCCTCACCCTCACCCTCCACTAACACATGTTCATCCACATTCCAAGTCCAGCTATAACTGTCTCTACAATAAAAAAAACCTTCCAACTCCTATATGTTGGATTAGAAACATGGGTTTCTTTTTATCTGTATGCATGTGAATTGATTTGAGAAAGATTGTAATGTCTTGCAACAAAGCGACAAAGACTCACTCTGCACACGCGTAGCGGTAGCGCGAGTGACAGATCTAGTTAAAAATTAAAAGATATATCAGCTAGGACAAGGAGTCTCACTTAGAGTTGACAGCTTAAATTGATAGTAAAAAAGAAAAAGCATGAAAGTGTGACAAACAGAACACATTTGACAAGAAAAATGAAGTGAGTCAACCCAGAATGAAGAAAACGTAAACTCTATTCTCAAGAACGCATCAAAGTATTACTAAATACTGCAATAGACGATATCTGCTTGAACTTTAATCCCGCCACCAAAACTTTCAATCATGCAGCAAAACCACTAAAACCTTCATAAACACAATCTCCAACCATTAGGGACCCATAACAACCTAAGGTCAACAACCCCCTTTTTTAGATAAGATAAATAATTACTCAGATAGACAAGCCACTGATTCCATTTTACACTCTCATACACCCTCTTGCGAGTCATGAAGCTTCGGACAAGAGAAAATCACATGTCATCAGTTTAGCTAGTACAAGTCCTATGTAGCATCAACTCTCCCAAGACATCAGATATACATGAGTTTAGAAACAAATATAGCAATCATCTATAGCGTAGCATGATCAATGAACCATTTTTTATGATTCCTTAGCATAAATAGGAAAGTTGGTATAAACCAACAAATTATCCAACCCGATTCTCTTGAAAACACAAACAGGGAGGATGTGAGATAGATCCCATCCTTGTCAAAAAGGCGAAAAATGCAACTTCCGCAACACAAGGACATACATACCTTTATACATCCCGTGTACGCTCCATATCTTCAGCATCAAGCTCTTCATACAATGCATAATTAATCCTGAAACGCCAATAGAAACACCATGAGGCATATTTCATCTCAAGAGTAAATATGAGCACATACATTTCACATATATATACCTACCACAAATAGATATAACGTTGCCAGTACCGCTTCTCCTCAGCAGGTGGCACATTGGCAATTGCACGCTCATAAACCTCCCTAACCCTCTCTGTATTGCCCACACTTTCTTCCAAGCGAATGTAATCCAACCATGAATCATAATTCAACGGATTCTTTCTGACCTCATCCTCATACTGAAATCTCCTCTTACCCACAATAGCATCCTCAATCCCTTCCCTATCTCCATACTGCTTTTCAAAAGCTACAAACTTTCTATGCAAATCCTCTGCCCTTCCTCTCGGAATATGATCTAGCGCAAACTTATATATGCACCTCGCCCTCTCGCTCTCCTTACGGCGCTCCTCAAATTCTGCGAATGCCACAAACAACATCTCAGCTTCGTCATCATCAGCGAATTTCTCCACCGCTCTCTCATACACATGCCTAGCTCTAGCAACCTCGCCATTCTTCATTTCGCATACTTAATCCAAGCACTGACCTTAGGATGGCACCGCATGAATCTCTCGTAAATTCCCCTCGCGCGCTCAACCTCATTGTACCTGAGCTCGAACTTAATGTAAGACAACCAACCTTGCTGATCGGGCATCCAATTCATCCACCTCTCGAAAATCTGCCTTAAGCCTGCTACATTGCCCAGCTTCTCCTCCATGTGTATATATTTATACCACAGCTGATCGACCCTCGGCAAGAGGGATACCGCGCAGTCCCACACGTTCCGGGCGTGATTTATGAACTTGTTCTTCATCTCCATGTCCACGTACTTCAACCACAGCGTGTGGCTGCGGTAGTCGACCTCGAGAGCGCGCTCCCAGACCGAGCGCGCCCGGTTGAAGTCCTTCTGAGACTCCTCCCACTGGGCGTACTTGACCCACACGCTGACGTTCCATCGGACGCGGCGGATGAGGTCCTCGAACTCCTTGCGCTTCCGGAGGCGGTAATCGCCGAGCTCGGCGTGATCAGTGATCTTCTGCTTCGGGGGCCGGATCTCCGCCTCCTGACGCTCGCGGGCCTCCCGGAGGATCTGCTCCGCGGTGATCTGGATCGGGGCCGGGGCCTTGTTCTTGACCCTGGTGGGGACGCGGGAGCTTCACCTCCGTGTCCCGTCGGGTCAGATACCCGAGGGTCCGGTCGGAGTCCGCCATTGCCCGAGCCTTAGGGTTTTGGCGACGACGCGAGGGGGCGGACGAGAGAGTGTGGACTGGGCTGCTGCGGCGGGCGAGGCCGGAGAAAGCGAACGAGGGAAGAAGAGGGAAGAAGAAGAAGAAGAAGAAGATCGACTGAGGCGTTAAGGACGCAAAGCAGAGAGCCAGGAAACCCTAGACGGAGGATGGGTAACGGTACGAGAAGAAAACAGGGGGGTCCTCGATGCTGCTGTCGAGGGCGAGGGGATAGCGAAGAGGGGTCGGCGGCGGGGCGAGGGAGACGCGGAGCGGTTCTTGGTCCCGGCGGCGGCGGCGGCGGCGGCGGCGGCGGGATGGCCGGAGAGGACGATGATGCGAGCGTGGGCCTGCTTGATTTGGGCGAGGCCTCCTTAGGTTTATGTCGGCATGATGAAATAGTTGCTTCCTTTACGTGGATATGTTGTTGACAAATTACTATTAGCATATAGAATCTCAATTTCACCGGTAAATGTTGATAATTTTGTGTGAAATCACTATTAGCATATCGACTCCATTAAGAAGTTATTAGATAGGTTAAAAGTTAAATAATCTCGTATAAAATTATCAATAGCTGGTAAGTACACATTCCTTCCCAAAAAGGCAAATAATGAAAAAATTTCTAAGCACTATTAAAGTCTGTGGTCATCTTATTTTTATTTTTCCCCCTTTTTTCATTATCTAATTATATTATCTCTACATATCTACCTAATCTTGGTGTCAATCTCTCTCTCTCTCTCTCTCTCTCTCTCTCTCTCTCTCTATATATATATATATATATACATACATATATATTCTCCTCAAAGAACTTTCATAGTTTATATTACTCAATTATTTTTCTTATTAAAAATTGGTTCTTTAAGGGTGTGATGTCCAATGGGATTGCTAAGTAAAATATATGTTTTTTTGTGGTAAGGGAGTAAAATATATGTTGCGCATCGCATAATCTTACTCTATATAGAATGCTATTTATTCGATGTCCATCGACGGCGAATAATCATGGTAGTCTACATTCTGTATGGCAAGACAAACAAAGATTAGATTACAGTCTATTGATAACTTCACCTAGTCTGCTCTCCCTTTGATTTCTTTGAAGGTGCAATCCTTTAAATCGCAATATCGAGCTTCTTTAGTATTGTAAACTTGACATCTCCTTATGCAATAGTGAATCAAACGTAGCTTCTCCTAAATACCACACAATAAGTTAACGTCAGATGCAAGCGATAGTTAAGTATATCATCACCAGTCAAAAGTCTGATCAAGGAAGTTATGGCCCTTTCGATTAAAATCTAAAGAAGCATTTCATTCTACATCACTGTTCTCGTGAACTCTTCCCTGGTAAATGCAGGATTCTTGGTGCTATCTAAGATAGAAACACATCTTCCATGCTCAGTCATCAGCCCACAAAATTTCACTTCAATATGTTCGATCCCCGAATTTAGCACCGACGTCCACAATCTGCTCGGCCTTATGCATTCGCCCAGCCTAGGAACGGCATGGAGGACACGCCTACAGCCGGATAATCAAAATAGGCTTGTCAAAAGTTCCTATGAATGGAAGAAGCGTCTCTTACGACCGGCGAAGACACCGGCTGCTCTCTGATACGCGACAAGAGGATGGAAACTTGCTCGGTTGCAATGTCTAGCCTCTCCTTGGACTTGGTTGACTCCGATATGAGATTCGATACCATGCTCTGGAGTAACTGTATTCTTTCCGCGTGATCGCTCGGAGCATTGTGAAGGAGCTTCGATGAAGACGTACTGATCTTCCGCCATCGGAGGGGGAGATACTTATCGGGTATTTGGAAACAATTCCCAGTGGAGAGGACTCGGAGCGCATGCCGGCACAGGATTCCAGAAAACTCGAATAGATGGCAACTGCAACTTATGATGCCCTCCCGAGGGATCCAATAAACCCTCCGCCCTCCCTCGAGTTTTGTGTGGTGCCTCACAAGAAAGCCATCTTCCATTTGGAAGGATGCATAGTGGGCCGCCAAGACAAGTTGCTCTTGGAGCTTAGAGAAAGCAAACGGAGTGAGGACCGTAGCGGCATGGGATTCCATGGGCGCTCCTGTCTTCAAGGAGATGTTTTGGAGATTTTGTTGCATTGTTTGCTGCTCTCCCGCTTGATCTTTAAAATCGACCGCAACAGCCACCTACATCAACAAATTCTAAGCTTCAGTCAACAGAGGGAAAACAGACTAATGCCACCAACAGTGTCTTAGCAAAGATAAAACAGGTCATTAGTCAACACTGAGGATTAATTGCACGCATTCCAACTAGCAAAAGATTGTTTGTACATGAATGTGGAGGTACTGATGAAAGTACTAACAGGTGAGAACAAGTTTTCATTTCCATCCTGTTTGGCTCGAGGAGAGAACTAAAATTAGGACTCAAAGAACTTCAATTCTCTCCCAATAAAGCACACTGCCTTTCTTTTCCATTATGAGGTCCTTGAAATACAGCAATAGGCTCTCACAACCTTAGTAGTTAACACAGAAATAAGAGACACGAAATTGCAACAGGCTCAGACACGCACAGCCCAAATAATGATGTTTTCAGCTCTACCATCTTGGACATAATTGCCAAAAATTCCCACTAAGCTGCCCAGCCTTTTGTAGTCTCTATAATCTGATTAGCCCTACTCACCCAGCGAAATCAAGACCGAGACAACAATGTTCAATGTCTACATAAAGCTTAAGCTAATTGATGGAGGGACCTGATTATGTAAGTTAAATTAAAAGCGATGATTAAGGCCCATGGTATCCTGACAGAGAGACAAAAGAAAAGCAACCCGCAAATGTTTCCTTAGTTTTCTTCCAAAAGGTAACCAGCATTGGCCATGCAGAATTTAAGAACAAATAGCTAGAACACATAATTAGAGGAAACAGAAATATGACAGTTCAAGCCACAACTATTAAATAATGTAAACAAAATACAATGTACCTGCTCAACAAAATGTGCAAGACGGGTTTGTGAACTCAGAAAACGTTGGATAAAGGAATTAATGGACTTTGACTGGCCAGCGGAAGTCATTCCAGCAAAAAAGTAGCTTCTCAAGTATGGTAATGCCCAATATGATCTCAGGGCAAACAGATTAATGATGTGCCTGTTTGAGTGCAGTCCAAAAAAATTTTGCATTTCCTTCCACCCTATTTCGAATTCCTCTATTGATTCCACATTATAGAGTCGATAAAACTCGGACTTCCACTCGTTATAACGCTCTCCCAAAATAGCATTGAACCAAGAGGGAAACTTCGCCACGATCATCCAGATGCAAAGTGCATGTTTAGTTGTTTGCATTTCCATAGATATCGCTTCTTTCAGGCACATATTCTGGTCAGTAAGAATTGTTTGAGGTGCTTTTCCATTCATAAACCCCAAGAAGACCTTCACAAGCAAGAGAGAGAAATTAAAACATCGAACTATTTATTGGAGGAACCGGAGCTCAAAATAGGACATATATTCCAATTCCAGAAAGAATGGACAGAAGAAACGAAAAAACAGGATAGGTAATAACTCGTACGTCTACACCAGCACACAAAATATGCTCCCAATCAGCTTACCCCTGACATTTAATATGTCAACTATGCAGCCATTGTATTTCTTCTACAGAGAGAACTATTTGTTGTTTGTTTAATTACCTTTAATGCCCACGAATAAGACCTCAAATTGTCCTCCCTCATAAGTACACAACCAAAGAAACAGGGCATGCCATAATTGTTGATCCCAACCCACAAACCAAGCGGCATATCAAATGCAGTCAGCCGGTGTGTCGTGTCAAATACGACAGCATCGCCAAAGATCTCATATGATTGTATGGATGATGCATACGACCACGCGATATTTTCCAATCTTTTGTTCGAATCAAGTGTGTACTCGAACCTGAAATTAGGGTCCTTTTCCTTTATATTTCTGCACATTCTTAACAAATCTATACTTTCATCTTCAGGGTCTATTTTCCGAAATGATTGGAGTAAGTTCCTAACATCCTTCTCCGTGAAAGGCAAGTATCCTGGTTCCACACACTTCTCGAGTTCCATCAGCCTCATCATCTGCTGGACTGAGATACCTGTCTTGGCAAACATAAGAATCCTGCTCTTGTCCGTGTCAGATATTGTTCGGTAAGCAGGTAGGAAACGAACTTGGTTTGGTTCCAGAAGTTCGTGATTATGATGGTTTACAAAACCAGTGACGCGCCATTCTGGAGCTCCTAAATCCGTTGTCTTGCTTATCCGCATATATGCCTGGCATCCACACCGAGAGGATTTCCTGTTTCTTTGAGGTTTACTTTCGTTAGTTGATTTGACAGGCGTGTTTCCAGCACGATGGCAAACAAAGTACCGCCTTGTGAGCCCTTTACCAACTCCTTCTTTTCCTTCGGTACGGTGGCGACGGATCGAAAAGCCACACCGTTTAGCGAATTCACAGTAAAACTCATAGGCAGCATCATGAGTGTCGAATCTCTGCCCAATGTACGGAACAGTCTCGTTAGTGCTTTCCAGGGAGAGCCTCGTTTCATCAAGAGACTCTTCGGCGCTGCTGTTGTCGTCTAAAGAGAAAGAATGCTGGTCGGACGGATCATCGTAAGCCACCAACATCTGTCCAGCCCCTATGGACATACTCCTCCTCTCTTCCAACGAATATGTATCTCTGAGGATCAGATCCCAAGTCCGATCAAACCGTTCATTTCAAGAGAATAAAGGGACAACCGACTCCGACCACAGGCGACAGATACCCCTGAAAAGAGAAACAGCTACCGGTTGGCGCATCGGGACATCGTTCCAAAACATAATCGACAAACCCAAGACTGCTTTCAACTAATCAAACAGAACAAGCCCTTCACTGTTCCCAACCAAACAACCCCTTTTACAGATTTTCAAGTCAAAGAACAGATAAGAGACAGCACAGTGCACACCCAGTCCCTCATGCTCCTTCACAAAAAAAATGAACCCCCTTTCCCTTCAAACACCAGATCAAAAAGAGAACCCAAATTTGCAAACACACCGCCTCATCATTTCTCAATCTTGAACCAAAGGAAAAACGAAAAAATGCGAACAGCTCCCGCATCCATCCGCATTACACGCAGTTTGGACATCGACCCACATTTGCTTATCTCCCTACAAACCCAATTCGCGATCCCTCCCTCCCTCCTACCATCTTCCTCGAACGCGATTCGCTACGAGTAGATCCCCCCCAAAAGAAGCAAAAGCGCGGGGACGATCGTAAATGCCGATGGAAGAGAGACGGAGAACGGAGGAGGGGGAGGTTACCGTTGGATTTTCTTTTGGAGGAGCAGGGGGAGAGAAGAATTGAAAAATCTTCCTTCGTTGAGGGAGCAACCCTAATCTGCGCAGGTGAGTGACGAAGGCCCGTTTCGGCTCGTCGCTATCGTGCGCCTGGTGCTAAATCTCGCGCCGCCCTTGCTCCCCCGAACGGATCCGCTCGACCCGGAGCAGGGACATGCCAATCTCCCACAACCAAACACGAGGAAAAAGGTAGCATCTATCTACTTTTTATTAGACCTATTAAATGGATAGGACGGGTCATAAATAGTCCGATCCAAATTGACCCATTAATCCGTTTATGAACCATTTATTCGTAGTGTAAATATCCCGATCCATACCCGACCCGACCCATACCCAACACATGCCCGACCCGACCCATATTACTAAAATACTTTTATATTTAACCTAATCTAGGAATACTTGTTTCTTATAATTTTTTTTAAAATTATACTGCTAAAACATTTTATGCAACACAAAGCTAGTGAAATTTTTTTATAATTTTTTTTAAAATTGAGGTTCTGTTTGTTTTGCGAAAAATGCGATATTTCTATAAAATGTTTTCCATAAAGTCATTATCCAAGAAAATAAAAAAATTTCTGAAGTTTGGCTGAAACCTGAAAATTAACTAGAAAACATTTTTCGATATTTGGTATATAAAATATGATTTGATTTTACTTTGTGCATTCATTTTAATAATATTAATATTTTTTTTAAATCGAATTTTTAATTATTTTTTTTGTTTTTTTGTTTTTCCTTTATTTTTGGCCGATCGCCGGCCGCCGTGGTCGGCGACCGACCACAGGTGAGGACAAGCTCGCCGGAGGTCGGCGAAGCTCGTTCTCACCAATCTGGCCTCAGGCAAGGCTCCAGCTCACCCGATTCCGGCGAGCCGAGCCTTGCCAGCCTCGAGCGAGGCTCCATCCGACGAGGTCAAGCTCGCCGATTCGACGAGGTGGAACCTCGCCCAAGGCCGGCGAGCTCGAGTCCCACCAGATCGGCGAGGCTGGAGCCTCGCCACAGGTCGGCGAGGCCTCAAGCCTCGCCCCGAGGCCTGGCCAAAGCCAGACGGCGAGGCCGGCCAGCCGGGGGACGGGGCGAGGCCTGGCGAGCTCGAAGCCACGGCCTCCGTGAGCGAGGTCGTCCCGCCGATGGCCGGCTGCCGTGGCCGACCACCTACTAAATAAAAAAAAAAAAAAAAGAAAAAGAAAAAATAAAACAAAAGGAGACAAAAAAATAATTAAATTTCGATTTTTTTTAAACATTTTTATAAAGAGGGAGAGAGTGTGTGGATGGGTTTAGTGGGTGGGTTGGAAATGGGTTCCAAACTCAACCCATTTAGACCCATTTATCTTTAAGCTTTAAAGTTTAAAATCCATTTAAGGTTGACTCTTTAAAATTAAAGTGACCCATTTAAAAATAAATGGGTCATATATGGGTCTAAGACCCATTTTGACACCTCTACTTTTTATGAAATTATATGAATTTTAATCACTACAATCGGTATTAAAAGCTAACCCGTTAATTTAAAATCACCCTATTTAAGGAAAAAAAATGAAATGAAAAATTAATTTCTTGCCTACTCGTGCATATTCAAATTGAATGAAAAATAATATAGGTACTATTATGTGTAGCCTAATTAACTTCACTTAGCATATATTGAGATAATAATTATTTTACATATACTTCGAGATATTTTGCTCTATCACATAACTATTGTTCCTAGTTCATTTTATAATATTGGAATTTATATTATATAATAAGATATCTGTAACTGAATTGACTCTTTAACGATATACTCAAATTTTTTACTTTCATTTACCAAAACTTCAAATTTTTTAATTTGTAGAAGAAAGACCCATCTCATTAAAGTTAAACGTTTTAAATCTAAAGTCTCCTTTACTACTTAGAAAAAATTTTAAACTTTTATTTGGAAAAAGAAAGACTCCTCTCATTAAATAAAACACATTAAATGTCCCAAAAATATATTTTTAGTATAATTAATTAGATAAGATTGGATTATAATACTTGTCATGAATAAATAAGTACTTGTTTTTCCAGAATAAGAAGTTAGAAACGATGATGGACAGTATTAGGAGTGATTGGTTCCAAAATGGGTTGGGTCCAGACCTGAAACTTGAAATCAACCCTGTTATAACCAGTTCCCAATTTTGGAACCTGAAACCTACCCTATTTTCCCTGGACCCTGTTTTGGAACCTTGTTTTTTCGGTCCGGTTTCAGGGTCTACTCGAGAACCTATTTTTTTTTTTTTGTTCCTTTTATGGTTTCATTTTTTTCCAGCAAAATAATATGGGTAGCAATGAAATGAATCAAAGTAAAAGATGAATAATAAAAACCAATATCCGCCAAAAGCAACAATCCCTAAAATGAGCAATTGAAATTACAATCCATCAAAATCAACAATCCAAAAGCACTATGTGCCAAAAGGAGATTATTTTCTTTAAATTCTGGCCATATAAAATTGCAAGTGGACCTCCCGAATCAATCGTTTGTGTTGTATAGTAGAGTTTCCTTTTCCTATGATAGGCAAATGCTCCATTGTGAAAATGATGGAAGCGGTTGATATCTCTGATGATAATTTCTCGCGGCACAACCTTTGATATCAGCTTTATTGCAGCATGGCAGTCGACGCATATTCGAAGATTTTTCATAATACGTATAGGGTTTCCATAGGGCATTTCGATAAGCGCAAATGCTAAAGCTAATCTTTCACCGTGTAACCACAGCAAGCGCTCCTTTTGTTCATCTTCAACAGCAAGTAATATAGCACTACAATTAGGGACAAACCCTTCCTTTTTGGCTTTCATGTTCAACCACTCCAACATCCCACTGATTAGCTTCATATCAGGATGTGAAGTATCCCCAACGGTGAAGTAATGGACCGTTCCCTGATATTCAAACCAACTTAACCCTGGTTCCTTTTTTATGCCTTGTCGTTTCATTTTTTTCCTCACAGCAGCGACATTCTCCCAACTCCTTTCATTTGCATAAATGTTGGACAAAAGAACATAGGCTGCTTCGTCATGAGATTCCATCTCAAGCACACGCTCTGCTGAAAGTCTTCCCAGCTCAACATTATGATGGATAACACAAGCCCCAAGCAAAGCCCGCCACACCGTGACACTAGGTTAAAATGGCATCTCCTGAATCAATTTCATAGCCTTATCGTGATAGCCTAGTCTTCCCAAGAGCCAAACCATACAGGTGTAATGCTCTACACAAGGTTCAATGCCATAGTTATGCACCATAGAATGAAAATACCATTGAACTTGATCCATAAGTCCAGAATTGCTACATGCTGATAAGACGCCAACAAAAGTTAACTTATTTGGTCGAGATTTGCTTGCATTCATTATCTCAAATATGTTTAGAGCCTCTCCACCAAGACCATGCATAGAATACGCTGAGATCATAGTATTCCATGAAACTTCATCTCGTGCATGCATCCGATCAAACATTAATTGAGCTTCTTTGATGGCCCCACACTTTGGCATACATATCTATTAAAGAATTACCAACTACTGTGTTCTTGTCATAAGTAGTTTTGATGGTTAGAGAATGGATCTGGTTTCCTGGCTCCAGAGATGCTAAGCCAGCGCAAGCACGAAGAACGCTAGGATATGTCACTTCAGTTGCCGTCAGTCGATGATCAAGCATATGTGAGAACAAACTCAATGACTTCTGCCCCTCACCTATTTGTGCAAAGCCAACAATCAGAGTGTTACAAGTCACATCATTTGTAGCTTGTGATTCCTCAAATATTTTAACAGAAATATCAATCCTTCCACTCTTAGCATAGACATCCATTAGAGCATTTGAGACGAACACATCTGAGTCAAGACCAATCTTGAGGACGTTACAGTGCACTTGCTCACCCAATTGTAAAGACTCCATAGTGGCACATGCTTGCAACAAACTCGCAAAGGTAAACTGATTGGGGACGACAAATGCTTGCCTCATCTGACAGAAAAGCTCCACCGTTTTTCTACTCTCACTAATCTGAGCATAACGCTCAATCATAAAGCTCCAAGGAATTACGTCTTTCTTAGGAATCTCTTCAAAGACCCTCCGTGCGCCCTCCATGTCACCCAATCCACTATACAATTCTAGCAATCCCACACCTACATGTACATCCAGCTCATAATGCGTTTTCAGCGTGCATCCATGAACGCTTCTCCCCAAATGTATAGTCCCCATACCGAGACAACCTTCAAAACACTGACAAAGGTATAGTTATTTGGCTTAAACCCAACAATTCTCATTTGAGAGAAGAGCCCCATGGCCTCTTCGAAGCATCCATTCTCAGCACAGCAGGAAATTATCACAGTCTATGAAACCATGTCCTTGAAAACAATCCCACCAAAAACATCCTTGACGCAGGAAACAGATCCACCCACAGAGTAAGCATCTATCAAAGCTGTCCCAAAAAATGCATTCGAATCATGGCCCAACTTGCATATGCAGGCATGAACAGCCCCAGCCATGTCTGCCCTCTCCATACTCACAAGCAATTTCAAGAAAGTAGTAAAAGCAAATGGGTTCGGCTCGTGCCCCTTCCTATGCAGCCTAACGAAAAGCTAGACGGCCTCACCAAACCGGAGGGCCTGCGCTAAGCCGTGGATCAACGTCACAAACGATATGGTATTCCTCTCGGGCAATTCGTCGAACAGTATGCGCGCATTCCCCAAGAGCTCGGACTTCACGTACGCATTGAGAAGGATGTTGGAAGCAAACAAGTCCAGGCAAGCAGCCCTCTTGATGACGTCGCAGTGGAGAGGCCTGGCCGAAATGGGGTCGCCGCTGTGGATGCAGTCTTGGAGCATACTGGCGTAGGAATGTGAGCCGAAGTCTGAAGTTGGAAGCTCCGAGTCGTTTGGACATTGCTCGAGCAGATGGGCGGCTTGGGCCGAGAACCCACATGCTGACGGGTGAAGGAAGCTGTTGAGTCCACGACCATCGCATGGTGTCGCAACACTCGCACATCGGAACGC